AAAAATTCTGGGTTTAGCCTTCCGGGCTATTACGTTCGATATGACCTCTCCTTCTAGGCAGCTACTTTCAGCAACTTATGTCACCAGTTGGACCAATACTGCGAGCTGAACCTGCAAAATGGTAAAATACACCAAAATTTCAGGCTCAGGTCGAGTGGGTGACGTGTGTTCGTTCAACACCGATTGCCTCAGTGGAATGTACTGCGCAATCGGACAATGTCGATGTTTGTCAACGTACATTGCTGTTGATGCTTACTGCTACGAACGTAAGTCATCGCTTTAGTACTTGAGCGGAATAAGGGGGGGGGGGGGAGGGACCTTGTAATCTTGCGGTGGCTTTTTCAACATGTGCCTTTGTTTTTGCTTTCTCTTTTGTTTTTCGCAATTGTGTTTCACCCAGCAAATCCTGTAAATCCCTGTCAGGTCACCTGTGAACTCATGTCAAGCCTGGCGAGATGGTCACTGGGGAGCTATCTCTCCAATTTTCCAAGTCTTGACCAGTCACGTTGACAAGTCAGACAGGGGTTTACAGGGTGTTTCAGGTGAAAAGAAGGTTTATAGGGTGTTGACAAGGTTGCCTGGTACTCACATGTACACAGTTTGCAGGATTTGGTATGCTAACAAGTGCTCACAGGTGTGCCCCCCCCAAGGCTGGCTTCTAAGAGATGATCACCTGTATTTTGCAGGCATATCGCCATCGGAATCTGGTTGCTTCTATGATGTCCAGTGTTCGGCTGTATGGCCAGATGCCTTCTGCAAGAATGGGCAATGTCACTGCCCTAGTCAAGACATGACTGCTGTCAAGACAAGGTCCGTGTTTAAGGCTATGCAGACAAGTACAGTCTTGTTCGCTGCCGCATGTCAGGCAGGCTGGATTTGGCGCGGCGCCAGTCCCTTCTGCACCAACTGTTGAAACATGCAAGCGACAACTATAGGTGGAGAACGGGCTGGCGCCGTACCAAACCCAGCCCCCTGACACGCCCTACGATCCGCAGCGAACAGGACCGTACCTTGTTCCTAAAAAAGGAACGGAGATCCCCTTCATAGTACTTTTTTCAAGGGATGGTATGCTCTGCGTATGGTCGAGCTCGACGGATCCTTCCTGCCCACTTCCCTCGCTTCCACCGCCAGACTCTGCTGCCGCCTTGGTTGTCCTGCCAGCTCCATCGGGTAAGTCGATATTAGCCACTTATTTTTCTAGTAAGTAATGGAGAATGGAAAGTTCAGTAGACTAGATATAGAGAAGGGATCACTGCCTAACAGGGGTAAGTCAGAGGGCATTGGCCTAGACGAGAAGTCTTATGAATCCATGCCAGCGGCTCCAGCTAATTTTTCAAGTCGACTGAATAAATGGGGGATTGCTGAGACCTATCGGAAGCATATCCGAAGTATGACTCTCAGACCATAGTGGTGGCAAGTACATCACTCGCGCGTCTCTGCCTAGATCAGTGCAGCCTTTGACTAAATAGAATTAAAAAATACATACTTCGCAGTACGAAAACAACCTATTTCGCATGTACTTTAGCTAAGAATACAGTCAGCATAGCGGCGTGCAATCCACAAGCGTCAGCAGTCCCATCAACGGAGGAAGTACTGATATCTCGGGCGCAGGATTACAAATGTGCTGTACGTGGAACGGTAAGTGTTCCCTTCTCGCTTGAGGGGATCCAGTGAACGAGAGATCACCTCTTTGTTGTCTCAGCAAGAGCATCCTCCAGAAAATCTTACTTCTAGGTAGAAGATCCAGCTCCAAGAGATGTTTCTGATCTATATGACTGCATCGACAACAGTAAATTCTGGCAAGGACAAGGTCTCGACATAAATAAGCACCCGATTGGAGTTTGCTGTATGAATAGAGGTACGGTAGGCTTTGCTACTGCCCCCAGACCGCAGTATGTGACAATCAAGCTTGTGGACCAGCGTGCTATGCGCCACAAGTTTGCTACTGGAAATCCTGCTCACTACGAGTCAACTTCAAAGATATCGCAGCCATTGGATACTAATTGCCCCCTCACTTCCCAGCTTGGCGCTACGCGCTATGTGCCAGGTGAATAGGTCCACAACCACAATAGCGTGCCACTTTCTTTTGTCAAATGTGAACCGGAAGGGAGGGGGGGGTAGTAGTTCCTGGAAGCCGTCTCCCGTCACCACTGTGCCCTCCTCAAGGTGCAGTGCTTGCGTTGATACCAAGGTCCCGCAACGAAACAGGCCCTCAGCGTTAGAGAATAATCGAGAATGAGAGGGCGCAGACGAGTTGCGCGTTTGGCTATGGTTAGGTGTGTAGTTGGCCGTACGGCAGCGCGGGCGAAGTCGAGAGACGGCACTCGGTAATCGGCATCATGTAGTCCCGTTCTCGTGCACTTTTGACAGGAAAAAGTGACGCGCTACTGTTTTACCTCACGCATCAAGGATTAGGATCTGGCGGTTAGTGCACGGTTTTTCTTCAGGGACATATTCCGAGATAACAAGGTAGGCGGGGAATAGCAACCATTGCTTTTCTCTTGCTGGCACGCTTCCCCTCTTCATCGTGCTGGAAAAGGGGCGCATCAACAGAGCGCACAGTGGCTGTGGAACCACGCCCATGCTTCTCTTTAGAACTATCGCGGAATGTGCCTTGAACCGCGATTTTTCTGGAAATTTTTGAACAAACATGGCAACCAGTGGGAGGAAGTGGGAATCAAGACCAATGGGCGTTTCGCGTTCTTCTTATGAAAATAGAATTTATATTTAGCATTCACCTGCCTGCAGCCAAAGAAAGGCGAGTCAGATCAGTTGGGTGCGGTGCCTCGATGGTGGTTCAATGGCGTTATCGGTTCCTGTCAACAATTCCTCTTCGACCCCACATCATCCGATGTCAGCCCCAATAATTTCGAAACCGTGGATCATTGTGAAAGCTTTTGCAAAGATGGTGAGTATTTTTCCTACCTTTTGAGTTTCTTTTATTTTAGAAAATCTAATGGTTCGCTTTTAAATGAGTGAGGTCCAGAGGACAGAAATCTGAGTCCTCGAACTGAATAAAGTTTGAGTAGAGAATTGATTTTCTGTGCGGAAGCCTAATTCAGAAGTGAACAGAAAACAAAGAAAAAATGGTAAAAAAAAGATAGGCGCACTTCGGCTTGGTTGGGGCAGCAAATGAAGCTCCTATAAGCACCTTATGCAGGTTCAGACTTCGTGACGGCAGCGCTTCGGTCGCGCGTTCGACGCGATCGATGCGCATGCTTTCGACTGCATTGATCGCGTCGAAGCGCTGCCGTCGCGAAGTCTGAACGCTGCCGTATGAGGGCCTGTAAATTCCTGTAAATAAAATTATTCACTTGTAACCCCGCACTCATTTCTCCTTACGGAGGATCGTTGAGAAGTGCTTCTCGAATTAACAAATACAACCCGTTATCTTCCTAGGTATATGAAGTGACTGAGAACCTTTTTAATAAGTTCAGTTTCAGCTTGCCCACGCGGAAATCCCGCTTACATACCGATGCGAACAGATTTTGGGCAGATTCCACAAGGTGGTTGCACCATTAGCCAACCGTGTCCGGATCCCTACGAATGTGTTGACCTAGCCAGTCAAAGTCTATGCTGTCCAAGCAGAAGTGGGTTTCGTTCTTTTCATGGGAACACTTATTTAGCCCAAAAGTGCCGGTGTTGCTCTTTTTATCTAGGGTGAGCCAAGCACCAGAGTTCTATTCAGGGCTGTAGAAGTGTATGATCTACTTGACCCTCCAGTAACCAGCCAAACTCTATCAAATCCTCTTCAGAGACCATCTGTAGCGAAATGGGTGGACGCTTGAAGAATCCTCTTCGCAGTACACCGTACGACGCCGGTATGCGCTTTGATCAATTGACTGGAGAGCAGGCCAATTATGCAATTGGTATTAGTACCAGGTAGGATAGAATAGTGCCACAAGTATAGCATACGAGTCAAAAATTGATTGGGGGGGCGCCCCTCAGCGCTCTTTGATCCATCCCTTAAACTCAGGTACTACTACAACTCCATCGATGGGCAGTGCCATCCGTTCACGTACAACGGCTTCTTGGGCAATTTCAATAATTTCAACACTCAAGCAGACTGCCAGCTTTTCTGTGCACGATGTGAGTCTACCTGATGCTATCACTTCTCAGGCGTCTTCCACGTTCGCTAAAGGGTGGAGCCGGACCTATCCGTTGCGTCTTCCTCATAGGTACGCTCCGTCTCCCGGTGACGGTAAGAAAGAGGTGGAGCAGGTTGAGTATCGGGCTCCACCCATAGAACGAGAGTGGAAGTATAGCCTAATATACCTCCAAATTTTCGATGCAGAACATTTTTCTGGGAGGTTTTCGTCGAGTTTTCAGTGCAATGTCCCCATGGAAGCCCACTGACTACCGGACATGGTGTGCCGCAACGTTGCCAACGAGATATGGATTGCCCATCGACTCACACCTGCACAACTGAGCATGCTGTTTGTTGTCCGACTCCGCGTGAGTAGCTTCTATAAGCCTGCACCATCCTTTTCTTCAGTCTTCTTCATACAAAATCGTTCCATCTCATTTCATTCAGTGATTTTCAAGCACATTCCACATTTATCTTGTGGGCGGGCTCAGACCATTGCTGCGCAGCTCCTTTCCAAGACACCCAAGTGTGAGAGGCAGGGCGTAAAGATGACCGTATAATACACCGTAACTTATGACGATCGCAGCGCCCTCATCAATCACTGTCGAGCCGCAAGGACAACCTCTGAGAGTTGCGGAGGGGACTTCTCGTACGAGGGAGTATGTATTCTGCCTATCAAACAATCGCGAAGTGTGTCTTTACGTTCAGGTATTCTGGGACATCACTATAAGTCCCATCTCGTAGCAACCTCTCTGGGACAGAATTTTTTCGAAATTTCGCTGGGGTGTTGAGGTTTTGAGTCGCGAGTGCGAGAAGAGTGGGTATTGATGTAGCAAAGGCTCAAAATTATCACAAATCTCCAGTATTTTCAGAAACCCTATGCACGGAACCATTACGTGTTGGAGACTGCAAGCAATCTGTGAGGCAATTCTGGTAAGTTACCTCTTACTATTTCTTTTATATGAAGAAAGATTATTGTCTCTGGAACCGACCTAGGTTCCAATCAGTGCTCCCTTCCCCTTACTACCCCCCGGCGCTGTTTATCGACGGGGGGGGCATTTTGTATTATAATTGCTTCCCTGGTTCCGGTTTACAAATCTCACTCTGGTAAAACTTGTGAACGCTTGTGAAGCTGGAGCAAGATCGTCTAGCCACCATCCTAAAACGTGTCAACTCGAAAAAAGGGTACCTAGATGGGTTGGCAAATCTATGAAAAGCAGAATGCCCCCCCCCCCCCCCCTACCCCCTCCCGTCCTTCAAGTATTTCACATGTTCTCAAGTACGCACTACACTTGGGAGTGACAAAATGATCCAAAGAAGGTGTAGAGACATGGCTGCTAATAAGTTTTTTACTGGAAAGTACTGATAGCAATCCGCATTCTGCACTTGCACTTGTTTAGAGAAGGGTGTGTAGCCTTTCTTCATAGTGGCGGCATCGCACGCTCTCCTAGCTAGATGGCGTTAGAGACACAGACTGAGAGAGCGAACACGCCACAGCGCTGCCACCTCATGTGGATTGGGTCCTAGCGCGAATACTGTGCGCATCACCCACCTGCAATAAGTTCTTTCTTCGCGCTCGTGACACTGTACAATTACCCAGACCAAACGCAGCTTTGAGCAATTCATAAAGTGAAAGGAATCTTGAAAAGTGAGTCAATTGCGCCTCTGTTCTAAAAAATATCGACATTCAGGTACAACGCCGAGACTCGAACCTGCGAGAGCTTCCTTTACACCGGTTGCCAAGGCAACAACAACCGTTTCCATTCAGTGAATGAATGCCAGAAATTCTGTAAGAATATCAACGGTGAGCCAACCTTTCACTTTATGTGTATGGAACCCAAAAAGTATTGATTCATCAGTTTCGCTTTGTTTCCCTCAGGTTGTTGGATTCTTCCTACCTTCCATTCGATGAAGAGATGCCCCAATCATACTAAAAAGCATGTCGGAATATTTTGGTGGCCATCCTCATTCCCGAGTTTGTAAGAGGGATTTCCATTTTTGAAGTGAGCGAAACAGCAATTGTTGCCGTTGAGTAGCTGAAAAGATTCGTGGTACAAGGTACTTGGCAGGGGCAGGAGTCAGGCTAGCTACACCGATTTTTTAGGATTCTTTAGGATGTGATTTATTTAGGATTCTTCCGCAAAGCAGCCTTTTTTGCCAAACTTGCGCGAAGCGCCCACCACACATTTTCTGCACACAATGGACCCCATTACATGCCCGCCCCCAGATAACTCCGCCCCTTTTTGTCGCGACACAATCTACATTCACATTAAACACATTTTACACTATATACTGCATCTATAATAGTTTTTCATATTTTTCATCCATGACACAGATAGGCCCTTGAACGCACTTTTACTTTGTAGTACAGGGGACTGCGCTCCCGACGACTCCGCCCCTTTGTTAACAGATGAACTGGTGGACTAAACAATTGTGCCCTTTCAGGTCTTTAGAGTGGAGAGATCACTATAAAGTAACTGATAAATCCTTTGTAGGCTCTTCCTCCAAACCACCAGTGATCCTCGGCAACATTCCAACGATTTCTCGACGCCCATAGAGATTAGATGTCTTGGCCTGGGAAATGGACCACACACTCCTTTTATTCTTTCTCGAGTAGCAAGAGAGAGAGTGAGAATGTAAAGCTTCTCTACTAAATTCGGCTAGATGCCTGTCACACGAATAAAGGAATCTTGAAACAGGAATTCACAGGATAAATTGCAATGGAAATTTTTAATATTTTAACGAACCCGGTTCATGAAATTGATTACTATTCAACGGCATCATTCAGCTGTAACAACCTCAAAATCTTGATCCCTTCCTTCTGAAACTTTTACATAGGGGTTACCCGGTTCCCTGATCACGAATATAACACTCGTTTTGGTGCAGGCGCCATTTGGCACGAGTAGGCAAAGGAGATCACTCCTCCTCCCAGGCTCAGCCTTAGCAGAGCGCTGATTGGCGCTGGCGCCTGTAAATGATGAGAATTGGGATCCAGGTCCTAAGTTAACCCCATATGCGAGTTAGCAAGGGTTTTGGTGAGAATAAGTTGGCTGAGTCATGACCAGGCGCTGACGACTCCCAGCGCTAATCGGATGCATCAACTGGAGAAAAGTTCAGGGGCAAAGTATTAAGCTCCGCAGAGACAACCACATATTCTTTTACTCATCAAGGAGGCAGGGGGTGGTGAGAAATTGGCAGGCCCCAACCCCACACAACAGACACAAATCATTATACGCGCCAAGTGACGCAAGAACTAAGACCCGACGTCGCTGATAAGGGTGCCAATGACGCCGATCAATTGTAGCCAAGGCTAAAGGGAGGACCAGTCAGGCTCTTGGTTCCTCAATGCATTTTTTTTGGCAGGCTAGGCCGAAATGCCAACTCTCAGGGCAGAGCCTATGTGGACTATTCCGGAAAGTTCCTACAATGTGGTGAAGGAATCGGTGGAAACGCTTGTCCAGCGAACTACGAATGCATTTTTGACGGTCTTATTCATGGATCTGTCGCAAATGTAAAGGTGTAGCCGGTGCGATGCTCGCCGAGCCTGTTTATATCTGGGTTAGATTCTACAGCCATGATTTAGCGCCAATGTTTTTCAGCCTACACCTGTTCACTTCAAGTAAGCAAAGGTGTCACTTGTGGATCTGGCTCTAGCTATCGTTTCTACTACAATAATCATTTGAAGGTAAATCACGTTGGAGTTAGAAGTTTGTGGTAGAGATATTGCTACAGTAGTGGACGCGCGCGGTCACAACGCGGTTGAGTCAAATAACAAAAAATATGGAGAGGACAGTAGGTTTAGGTTCATTTGAATCGGTGCTGGACTCGTTAGGAAGGCTTGGGACATCATCGTGATCACATGCTTAGAAATGTATAAGGCAAGGATAGTAGGTGATGTCATCCCGATGTCTGATAGATGCGGAGGGCACGGCGCATTCCAAAGAGTTTAGTCGTGTCACCACCACTTCGTGCCATATCTTTCTTTCCCAAAAACTCTAAAACGTGGTTTTTTTTCGGGGGAGGAGGGTGTAATAACAGTTACGGTCCCCGTCGAAAGTCTCCGATGACCCCCTTCCCCCGTTCTCACTACAGAGTCTTCATCGGAATCTCTCGCAGCTCAATGAGAGAGAGACTTCCTCCTTCTTCCTACAACAATGTCTATTATCTTCCACACAATTGTCCATGCAAGCGGTGGCGGAAGAAGGTCCAGCAATGGAATCATATTTCTTGCAGTGAAATACACAACTCCCTTAATCGCTCGCGACTCCATATGAGCGCGTCTGTGTTTGGAGATCCCAACGTACAAGCGTACGCGTGTTGGCACCACTAACGAAGGTAGCAGGGCGTGGCAATGGAAGTAACCTCGTATCCGGAAGGCAGCTTGATTAGGCGCGGTCGTCAACGGCCGCAGCGCGCGTTGCCAAAGGCAACTCACTTGGCTTTTTCCAGGCTAATTTTCAGTCATTCTTTTTTCACCACGCGGAGCAGGAATGAATCCCACATGCGAGTGGCGCTCATGGCCTTGTCTCTCATTTAATTAAGTTCAGGTTGTCAGGCCGGTGTACTAGCCCCCGAAAATTGCGACAATTTTCGGGGTAGCTGTATCCCCCGCCTGACAGACCTGAACTTAGTAATCTTGTTTTGTCGCCTTCCTCCTGTCCCATCTTACGATGAGCGCCACTGTTGAAGAAGGCAAAGTGACTGACTGTCTGCGCCCCTGCAGTTGCCGTGAAATTTTTGAATATTTGGACTTGCTCATGTGTTTGCAAATTAATGGGCTTATGTAGACTTTCAGCGTCCTCAACCGCCCTTCCCGCAAATGGCTGACCTTTGTAGAGAATTCACTTTGAATGTTTTTGTTTCATAGGACATTTTATTGTACATGAAACAGTTTGTTGGTCACTCTTCACTTAATTTACTATCTTAGGAGTGCCAATCGTTTTTGTTCCTTGGTTGTGAATGGTTAATTCGACAATTTTCCCCTTCAGGCAGAGAAATGTCAAACTATTGGCGAATAAGAGGTGAGCCTTTGACTTTCACACCTGCCTCCCCTTTTGGTACCAACTTTCGTGACTATTAGACATATGCTCAATATCATTTACTTCACTCAAAGACTCTTTCCGCGGTGATGGGATGGGCGGAGACTCACAACATTTGTGTCTTCCATAAGTGTCCAGGTTCGACCCTCGATGCAATCTTGGCATACTTTGTAGTTCTCTCTAGGTATTGCTGTAGCCGTGACCGAAGTAGAATATTTAAACAGTTTTTATTGGCTAACGTTTCGGCCTTATCGCCTTCGTCAGAGCCTGGAAAAAAGTCAAAAATCAAAGTGAAACTACCCTCGGACATCATTTCAAACCTCAGATAAGCTAGTCCCAGACCAGAAGGATCCAGAAACCTATCATAGATCACAACCACAAGACGACTCACCTTGAATGTACGGCCGGTTTTTGCTTGCAGCCACGGCTAAACTGACTCGCCGTGGTGGGTTTCGCTGACCTGGGCCCTCGCTGCAAGGCCGAGAATGGTCAATCGAGCCTACACACGGTTCAGCAAAAACGAGGTGCAGCAAATGGGGCGAGCTCGTTTTTGTGATCGGCCAAGGGCATTGTCGTCTTTCTGTTCATTATTTGAGATTTCTAGCGGCTTATCGCAAATACGGCTTCCAAAGTTTTGCGCGAGTCTGTTTGGTTTCGCATCAAAATCCCTAAACCGTCACCTCAGACACCACACTGCGCAAAGACGACCTCACACCAGCGCTGATCGCATCACTTACGAAGGGTAGGCAGAATGGTACCTTCTCCCAACCCTCGGTCACAGGACTTTGTTTCTTGACATTTGTGTCTTTCATGGGCTGCATCAACTTTTTTGGCAGCAAAATGGTTGCGAGTCCTGCCTTTGTTCTCTTGGTTCCCTTCTGGTGGAACGAGCCTTCAACGATACCTATTGTGTAACTTTCTACTGCCATTTCCATTCGATTACAGTATGTCCAAACGGAGGTTCTCCTCTGAGAATGAACCAAAAGCTGCGTACCTGTTCAACGTCTGATCCGTGCCCGTCTGGCTACGAATGCAGTCAAGTGGATTCGAATGGTGTAACTCAACGAAGATGCTGTCCGACTAAAAGTTTGTTAACATTTGTTGTTACATAATTTAAATTCAAAATGTCTTTCTATGTGTCCAGGAAGAGGGGAAAGCGATTTTAAGTCTTTTCTATCTCAGAGATCCGTTCCTTCATACTCTATCCTTTGATAGCGTCCGCCCCCTCCGCTATGCCACTACCTGCCACTTTCCTAGGTTTTCCCAACTTTCTACCACTTTTTCCAAGCATATCCCCGAAAAGCCTCTAGTTTCTCCGCAAAATTTCGCTGACGAGTGGGGAGGGGGGAAGGTCGTCAGGAACTAACTACTATTTTCAATTACCGGAGATAGTAAATCGGATACCAAATCCTTGGCAATGCGCGCTAGCCAGGGACATTATTGTGTCTGCGGAGATCTTAGTCGAGTCCGTAACGACCCGCACGCAGGGTCCTCTGTCGCCCTCATCGAATTAAGGCCGTCGAGGGGGGAGGGAGGGGGAGGGGAGAGGCTAAATACGGCGCCTCAGCTCGCGTCTGTTGGGGTCCCGCTAATAACTGATGCGCCCTGCGCTAACGCAGAGGGGTATATAACACGCGGTGAGAGCGGAAACACGCGCGAGAAAAGCCAACAACGGCGAGAAAGTTTTCTCCAACGCCCGCAAATTCCTCTTCGGTATGCTCAGCCCCGCCCCTTCCCACAAAGAGCAAATACGCCCCTCCCCCTCTCCCTTTTTTTATAGCGTCCGTGAAACAAGAGAAATCAACTATCGGAAAAATTTTTTCTCAGACCAAATACGACCCCCCCCCTCCCTCGCGGTCAAATACGACCCCCTGTTCTGATTATCGCAACGATGACGAGCCCTGTTCCAACACCGGTTTTCGCAAACTGTGTGTTCATGAACGAACCGATCCCGCAGTAATAGTATGGATCGCGCGATCGCCACTCGTGAACCACGAGGCGTTACTCGTGGATCGCGGTGAGTGCAGCGGTGTCACGTGCGCGGCATTCTCACCAGGATTCCAATCGATTCAAGCGCTCCGTTGTGTCAACTCAGTTAGATGTGATACTTGGCTGGTTTGTGCGTGATGCCGTAGTTCGGGACGATATTCGCCGAGATCTATAAGGCCGCGTCATATTTTTCATTTCTCAAATGGTAGTGACCCACTCAGATACCCACTCTAGTATACCCCACCCCTTTCCCCGTCTGGCCTACAATCTTCCCAGATTTTCTTACCCAACCTCTACCACCCACCACATTTCCGATTTTTCATAAAGAGTTCCTTCTCTTCCTCCCCAAAAACCGCCGTCTAAGGAGGGGAGGAGAAGGGGGAGGAGTGGAAGGTATATAACGCACTTGAAGTAGGAAAATCGATAAAAGTCAACAACCGAAAACATATTACTCAAGGCATACACGACCCCTCCCTCCAGCGACAATTTTATCACCACTTGCTGGGGACCCATAACGTACGACGACGAGCCTTGTATTGTGTCTGACTGCGGCAATAATAATAGGGCACATTTTTCTTGGAGGTTCTCCAAGAGGAGGGTCGTAATTCGGTCGCTGAGTGAGGGAGGAGAGAAAATTTTTTATAGTTGATTTTTCTGGTGTTACGGACGCTATAGAGGTCGTATTTGCTGAGAGAAATTAGCGGGGCTGGAAAAAATTTCTTCTTTTCGCGCGGTTTCTCGTGTTTCGCATGTGCTACATACCCCCGCTCGACAGCTCGATCGTTTCAAAGGGGGTGACTAGAGAGCGGGTCGTATCAAGCCACCTTTTCGGGGGGGGGGGGGGGGCAGGTCGTGCGAATTCGACCAAAATCAATGATGTGCACTGAATAATAAGCTTGATTCTAGCCAAGGGGTCTTGAGCTATTACGGGCATTTCTTGGTTACAGCGTCAATCTGTTCGAAACCACCACAAATGGGTATGCTACCGAAGTGCAGCAGTGGAAGCGGTCAAATGAGGTAATGTCCACCTTCTAATCGAATATTTTTCTCCAATTCTAGGGGCTTAACAAGTACTTCCTTAGATACAATCGTTTTGCCTGCAGATGATGGGGCGTGTCAGGGGAGACGTTATTTGGCAAAACGCCAGCCTGCCCTCCACCAGTTATTGAAGAGGGCGCGGTAATTTGTAGAAAATGGATTGCCCCGCGACGACTTCCACCCCCTGATACGCCCCAACGTCTGCAGTCGAAAACGACTTTCGAGTAGAATTCTATGTTCCTTCATAACTTTTCAGGTACTACTTCAATGTGGCGCTACAGACATGCTCTCCGTATTCCTCAAACGGATGTGATACGTCGCTGAACTCATTCAAAACAATAGTCGAATGTGAGGAGTTCTGTCAGAGTGCCGGATGTAAAGCGGGAGACACTGTGTATAAGGTAGGGGTGCTTTACGAGATTGGGAGTATTTTCAGTGGGATCTACCATCACTGCTTGAGACTTGAACTTAAAAAAGGACACAAACCGTTATAAAAAAACAATAAAATTCCAGGATCCCAACACCAATCGGCCGTTTTTGTGCAATACCGGCTTGCACAACAATTGTCCGACAAACTACGAATGCACTCTGAACACACTTACTCAAGAACACGTATGTTGTGGATCCGACAGCATGGGTAAGTCAATTCAAGGCCCCAAGACTGTTAGAATCAGGGTACAGCATCGTTGTGTGAAGACAACAACCAGGGGAGAACCGAATACGACCCCCCCTTCCCCAACGGAGAAGTAC